ACACTGGATATCAAGTGGGCAAGTGTACCCAAACTGAAATGGTTTGTCAATGTAGGATGTAGAACCCTCATTTGATTTGTTAAATGTTTTTAAAGTGAATTTATGTTTAAAAACGGCATTGAACAGTTATGGTTCATAAAGTTGGTCCCACTTGTACTTATCAATTTTTTTATTATAAGATATGAATTCAGTGGGTCTTTTTGTCTAACATTTACCATTATTGTTATTCAACTATTGGCTACAATGTTATTGGAACAATATGTGTATGAAATAAAATATTGAAGCCGAAGGTCTTGTTACACCTCACATGGTGGTCCCAATCAGAAGACTTCAGTGTGAAAGGATAACTACAGTAATGACATCCGAAATAGAAAACTGTTAGATAATTACACAAAGTTCATACAGGCTAGTTTCCGGGTGGTCGGATAGCTTAGTGGTTAAAGGTTTGCTTGTTATGCTGAAGACCTGGGTTCGACTCCCCTCATGGGTACAATGTGTGAAGCTCATTTCTGGTGTCCCCTCTGTGATATTGTTGGAGTATTGATGGGCTTCACACATTTTGGGATATTGAACCCGGGTCTTCAGCGTGACGAGCGAACACTTTTACCATTAACCCCGATTTTATGATTAACACTAAATGGTTCATAAATTAGGATCAGTGAAATGGAAATAACGGAATCATCAATACTGATAATATAAGACATGATGGATATTGCCAGGGTAGGTAACTCTCCTGTTAGGTCTTGTACCATAATGAGTAACAGCTTTACTTGGAAATAACAACAATAAACATGACAAAGACATATTTGTGCTGAATCAGTTTTATGGCCAAATTCTCAGATTTGTCTATAAAGAGGTAATTTTTTAAAGTGTGATAAAACATTGATTAACCTATAAGTTAAAATGTTCGTTCAGTACTAGATTACTCTTGTTTCCGCTGATATAATATCTAAGATATTGATCAGGCTGATTATTGATTAGAAATGCATATGAATTGGAGCCTTTGGTGAGCCAGCAAGAATTCATAGCTTAATATTCATTTATTATTCATGTCAGCGATTTCAGTGCTCTCTCCTGTGTGAAGTTGTGTTTAGAGCCAAGATGAAAATCATTCAGCCGAGGAAAAGCAGTTCAGTAGCATTTACATGTTTTGTGATGAACTGACGTTCTCAATGTTTTTATTGAGAATGTGTGTTCTGTCGTGTATATATTGTTCCTTCTTGGTATTGGTAAACTGTAGGCTCTGTCCATTGATAATTGCCAGATAGTGCTGCAACTGATGATGAAGGGGAGGATTATGTGTGACATCCAGACTTTGTATTTAGTTTTATTCCTGTGCGCTTAGAGCATGTTTCTGCATGGAATACAGCGCTATATAAATACACGTATTATTATTGTTGTTATTATTATTATTAACCTTTAGGTTTTGTCTCCCTTACAATTATGGACAAACAGGACAGGCAGTTGAAACAAATTCAGCAACTATAACTTGATTTTAAACGAAGGATGTTTGGAGGAATTGTTTTACCAATGAAATTTGCACACAGGGATTCTTCCTTACAGTCATGTGATCTGATGAATGCCTACTGATAGTCAAGTGAACCGATGTATACCTACTGGTGGTCTATTGAACAGATGTATGCCTACTGATAGTCAAGTGAACTGATGTATACCTACTGGTGGTCTATTGAACAACTATATGCCTACTGATAGTCCAGTGAACTGATGTATACCTACTGGTGGAACCGATGTATGCCTACTGATAGTCTAGTGAACAGATGTATGCCTACTGATAGTGGTCTATTGAACAGATGTATATTGAACAGATGTATGCCTACTGATATGTACCTAGTGAACCGATGTATGCCCTACTGATAGTACCTAGTGAACAGATGTATGCCTACTGATAGTCTAGTGAATGATGTATGCCTACTGGTGGTCTATTGAACAGATGTATGCCTACTGATAGTCTAGTGAACGATGTATACCTACTGGTGGATAGTCCAGAACAGAACTACTGATATGTATACCTACTGGTGGTCTATTGAACAGATGTATGCCTACTGATAGTCAAGTGAACCGATGTATACCTACTGGTGGTCTATTGAACAGATGTATGCCTACTGATAGTCAAGTGAACCGATGTATACCTACTGGTGGTCTATTGAACAGATGTATGCCTACTGATAGTCCAGTGAACCGATGTATACCTACTGGTGGTCTATTGAACAGATGTATGCCTACTGATAGTCAAGTGAACCGATGTATACCTACTGGTGGTCTATTAAACAGATGTATGCCTACTGATAGTCCAGTGAACCGATGTATACCTACTGGTGGTGTGTTGAACAGATGTATGCCTACTGATAGTCAAGTGAACTGATGTATACCTACACATAATCTAGTGACCTAATATATGCCTACTTATAATAAAGTGAACTAATATATGCCTACTGATAGTCTATTGAACTAATATATGCCTACTGATAGTCAAGTATAATATACCTACTGGTGGTCTATTGAACTAATATATGCCTACTGATAGATAGTCTAGTGAACCAAGATGTATATGTCTGAAGTGAACCGATGTATACCTACTGGTGGTCTATTGAACAGATGTATGCCTACTGATAGTCTAGTGAACCGATGTATACCTACTGGTGGTCTATTGAACAGATGTATGCCTACTGATAGTCTAGTGAACTGATATATACCTACTGATGGTCTATTGAACTAATATATGCCTACTTATAATAAAGTGAACTAATATATGCCTACTGATAGTCTAGTGAACTAATATATGCCTACTGATAGTCTAGTGAACTAATATATGCCTACTGCTGGTCTAGTGAACTAATATATGCCTACAGATAGTCTAGTGAACTAATATATACCTACTGATAGTCTATTGAACTAATATATGCCTACTGATAGTCTAGTGAACTAATATATGCCTACTGATAGTCTATTGAACTAATATATGCCTACTGATAGTCTAGTGAACTAATATATACCTACATATAGTCTAGTGAACTAATATATGCCTACTGATAGTCTAGTGAACTAATATATGCCTACTGATAGTCTAGTAAACTAATATATGCCTACTGATAGTGAACAGATATAGTGAACTGATGTATACCTACTGGTGGTCTATTGAACAGATATATGCCTACTGATAGATAGTCTAGTGAACTAATGTATACCTACTGGTGGTCTATTGAACAGATGCCTATATATGCCTACTGATAGTCTAGTGAACTGATGTATACCTACTGGTGGTCTATTGAACAGATGTATGCCTACTGATAGTCTAGTGAACTAATATATACCTACTGGTGGTCTATTGAACTAATATATGCCTACTGATAGTCTAGTGAACGATGTATGCCTATGGTACCTAAAGATGGTCTTGCGAACTAATATATACCTACAGATGGTCTAGTGAAATGGGGAGGTGGTATTGCTGGAATAGCGACGTAAAACCACACTCACCCACTGAAGTATGCCAACTGATGTGTATTGTATTTATGTATGTCTGGTGTAGTAGTGTTGGGAGTTGGTTAAAATCTCATAATTGATGATTGTTTCATTACAACCGATCAATCATCGAAAAAAATTGGTTAGCATCATTTTTCAGATTTTTCTAATCAGGTTGTTATTGCAGATAAGTATAACATGGTGCAACTTGCTACTTTAATTTGATAACTGATATATCATGAAGAAAAACTTCCTGGAGTCTTCAAGAAATATTCAGTCATGACTTTTCAGTTAGTCAAGTGAGTTTTCTAACAATTAAACACATTTTCAGGCCCTGACAACTTTAAAGATATGTTCCGTCGTCAAGTGTTAAAAGACCAAACCAGTAGTTCCAAAATCATTTGTGTTCGATTTTTAGAAAATGTGATCAATTGCTTGGTCGTTTGGTCACTGCGACCAATCTTCGATTATTTCAATTAATCGGAACACCACTAGCTGATAGTGATATTTACTTGCCGACTGTTTGTTCCTGCTGCCTACTGACCATCTTACATCAAGGTATATTACTTGACAAACATAGATTACATCTAGGACTAACTTGCATGCGAAATACATTTTGTTGACACAGCTCAAACTTATATGCTTATAAACTAGGACTTAACTCTCACAGTTTCTCAGTCTACAGAATATAATACCACATGAAGTGGTATCTCAACTTTCTCCTGTTGTTTTCAGGACAGCCAGACAAACATTCCGCTACGTTTTATAGCCTCCTTTGTATGCCAGGCCAGCCAACAGTGGCTTATTGTGGGTGTGACCATGTTGCTTACAACAAATGATGTAAATTTGCTCGCTCAGCACAGAGACATAGCATGCCTGGACCTCATGTGTTGATGGAAATTGCCCATTCAAACAGACTTTAGGCATTAACTGAACAGAAGCATGAAACTGAACACATATACATGTGAAAATGACGGTGTTTTTTTTCTGTTAACAGTGGTTGGACTTTTCCGAACAAATAATGTGTTGGATATTGACAGTTTATACTTTACGTCTCATGTGAACTACAAATTTATGGTAAAATTAGACAACAGCCATTTAGAGTATCTGGGAACAAAAATCAAGTATGAGGTTTTCATTATCATATAACAATTTTTTAGCACGTCTGTTTTTGAAAAAAATGTTCTTTAATATTTTTTTACATGATGATGTGTTTGTGAATTCAACGAGCTCTTCTGTGACACTGTAGGGGTCATGTCAGACCACAATATGTCAGCTTCATTAATAAACTAACACTAAAAAGTGTAAAGGAACATCATAATCAATATCATCCTCTCATTTGTTTCTGTCACCCGGCAACAGTTCCACCACATCCCGTAGTTAAGGAAACTCGAGCTATAGTCGGCACAATGCCATATCAGATTTCAACCCAGCTTGGAGCATATGACCATTTCCCGGGTGGAACACCTGGGTTCTGGGAATTTAGTTAGGTGCTGTCTCTCTTGCGTAGCTATGGCTTTCTGTGAAGGATGTATACCGAGTAAAGCCATAAATCTTATATTGGGGAGCTCCGGCTTTTGCATGACGGCATTAGCAACGTTAAGCCTATTGATCTAAGTGTGATCAGACCCGCTCCTCAGCAGACCGTTATGTTTACTGTCGGTGGCCTGTCGAAAGAACGGGGTAGGGGCATGGCTAAGTTACCTGCCGTTCATAACCTACCTAGATGAATGACAGTCAGCAGGTAATGACTCCCCCCGTTTTGTTGACTTGCATGGGCTTTGAGTTAAACACTGGGAATAAAATACCGCTTCAAGAATGGATGAAAAGACAGGTAAGATATGAGACTTATTAATCTTTATTCCTTACAGCAGCACTTTCATGATTGAATAGGTGTGTTACAGGGGTACGAATGTTTCTGACACAGTGCGAGCTCCCTGCACCTACTTATTGCTGGTCGGATCCATCATTGACTGGACGTATATTAACATAGCACTTTAAATGGACATGCCACAAGGCTCTGTTACACATAAGTGCTTATTGATGTTTTGCATCTATACGAAGGGATTTTAATACCTTCAATTGTGGAATGTGTCACTGTTGTACTGTCTCTGTATTGTGCAAGACTTAATGAGATGAGTTTTTTGCTTAATGTGAGTTTTATTTAAGGGTTTTTCTGTTAGCATGTATCATGACAAACAAAACTTATTGTTTGGGAATTTAATTACACCACATATGATATTAATATTTCGGTGGGTTTATCATTTGGTTTAAAAAAATGTCCTGATTTGTGAGTGCCATTATTCACAAACTAAAATTATTGTTTTGATTTTAATTACACAACTGGTGATGAGAATATTTCGGTGGGTTTATCGGTTGGTGTTGAAATGTCCTGATTTGTAAGTGCCATTATTTCACTCAAGGACCTGAAACCTGATATACATCCGTGAACACATTTATGATCGTGTCTCTGCAAGTGTCTGTACTTACGTTAACTGTTTCTTGACCTAGACAAAGATTTGTGTTTGTCTCCAACAGCTTTATAAGATCACTCATTTGTGACATTGTCATTGTCAGGGAGAGATTCTAGCTCAAAGACAGTTACTGGACATTAACTAAAGGCATGCTTCATTGAGTCTTATACAAATGTCCTGTGTGCCTTGTTCTCGTAGTTCATGCTAGTATTGAAAATGATCAGTTGTTTTTCCATTTAATGGCTTTAATACCATCAGACATGGGTAGAGTGCAGGGGTTAATGTGACAGGTCACCAAGGTGTTCACTGTACACTGTGAGGGCAGTATATCACAATGTTAGTGTGACAGGTCACCAAGGTGTTCACTGTACACTGTGAGGGCAGTATATCACAATGTTAGTGTGACAGGTCACCAAGGTGTTCACTGTACACTGTGAGGGCAGTATATCACAATGTTAGTGTGACAGGTCACCAAGGTGTTCACTGTACACTGTGAGGGTAGTATATCACAATGTCAGTGTGACAGGTCACCAAGGTGTTCACTGTAACTGTTATATCACAATGTTAGTGTGACAGGTCACCAAGGTGTTCACTGTACACTGTGAGGGCAGTATATCACAATGTTAGTGTGACAGGTCACCAAGGTGTTCACTGTACACTGTGAGGGCAGTATATCACAATGTTAGTGTGACAGGTCACCAAGGTGTTCACTGTACACTGTGAGGGTAGTATATCACAATGTTAGTGTGACAGGTCACCAAGGTGTTCACTGTACACTGTGAGGGTAGTATATCACAATGTTAGTGTGACAGGTCACCAAGGTGTTCACTGTACACTGTGAGGGCAGTATATCACAATGTTAGTGTGACAGGTCACCAAGGTGTTCACTGTACACTGTGAGGGCAGTATATCACAATGTTAGTGTGACAGGTCACCAAGGTGTTCACTGTACACTGTGAGGGCAGTATATCACAATGTTAGTGTGACAGGTCACCAAGGTGTTCACTGTACACTGTGAGGGCAGTATATCCCAATGTTAGTGTGAACTAATGAAAACAATTCTATAACATATACATGTATTCCAGCGTTAAGGATTTTTCCTTTCCAATAAGGGGCTGTGGGTGGCCTACTAGCCTAAGGCGTTCGCTCGTCATGCTGAAGACCTGGGTTCAATTCCCCACATGGGCACAATGTGTGAAGCCAATACCTGGTGTCCCACACTGTGATATTGTTGGAATATTGCTAAAAGCGGTGTAAACCAAACTCACTCTTTCTCCAACAATGCCAACGAGCAGAATATACATAGAGCTAGCAGGCCTTTGTGTGTTTTAGAAAAGGCCTTCTAAATGGGGCAGATCATCAACAGTGTCCATTTGAAATGACTCATAGAGTTAGTGAAGTGTTATGTGGGGAGAGAAAAAGGGATGTGACTGATTGGAATTTTAGTACTGAAATATCAGCTAAAAGGGCTGAAATATAATGACATATTGATGAATAATACAATTCATTTTGCTATGCGTATTGATACAAAATTACCTAAGTAGACCTGCAGTTAATCCATTAATGTATTCAACTTCTGAACATAAACTACAGTTCGTTTGAGACTAAATGATACCGATGAATTGCAATCTAACACAAAAACAAATAGACATAAAAGAATCAAACCAACGGGGAGTGCAATAAAAACAACAGACCAACTCTCGAAAAAAATTGCATAATTTTTGTCACAAAAAGAAAAAAGTTGTTTAAGAAACCGTCATCAATTATTTGTGCGTTTTCCAAGTATGTTACAAGGGCGCATTGGCAACTAAAGGAACAGCGCGAAAAGCGAGATGCACGTGTATTAGTGACGTCAGAGACATGTGATTACTGCTGATTGACAAAGTGAGAAAATGAAAGTCTATAATTTACAAAGTCTATGATTTCTTCAAGGATGAAAATGACAGGGGTGACCCAAGTATGCAATTACTAAGTACATACAGCGCACTGCCTCTGCAGCTGGGGTACGTGTCATCTTGCCAGCTCAAAAATTTGATGAGAACCCGTTAACGCACGTGCATCTCGCTTTTCCGCTGTTCGTTTAGTTGCCAATGCGCCCTTGTAATAAACTGGGAAGACGCACAAATAAATGATGACAGTTTTTTAAACAACATTTTTATTTTTTTTATGATTGCAATTCATCGGTATCATTTTGTCTCAAACGGACTGTAGGTTGAGTATGATTTTATTCCCCCTCACTGTAATGGTTAATCATGATAATGTTAATAAATGAATACTTTTTTGACGTTAATTATGGTATGGATATTCATTTGTAACTATACACCATCAACAGTACACAATGACAAGGAACATATTTGTTGTGTGTGAATTACAGCCTAGTTCAAGTTGTTTCATAGGTAAGTTCTATACAGGCATTTAGTGACCACAGCCATTTCCAAAATGACTTTTAATGACATGAAGGCTTAGTGGCTTGTATGCCTTGCCTTTGGGTACAACAGTTTGAGATTGGCATCATGCTCAACTGTGAATACATGCTGAGTGGAACACAGGCTTACGTTCAGCAAATACTTCTACTGCAGTTACTCCTATCGTGTGATCGTGTGATTGCAAATTGTGTAGAAAATATGAACGTTTCATTTTTCTCATAGTGATCCTGAGATAACCTAATTCTTCAAAGACAACTTGATTCCCAATTATATAGAGACCAAGGGAATGACATGTGTAACTTAATATGAATGATTATTCTACCATGAATGTTTCAATTCTTATTGGTCAGTGAATATTCGACCATGAATTTTTCAATTCTGATTGGTCAGTGAATATTCTACCATGAATGTTTCAATTCTGATTGTCAGTGAATATTCGACCATGAATGTTTCAATTCTGATTGGTCAGTGAATATTCGACCATGAATATTTCAATTCTGATTGGTCAGTGAATATTCGACCATGAATTTTTCAATTCAGATTGGTCATTTACAGGTTTCAAATGACATTAACTAACTAGCGGAACATTTGGAATCTCACAGAGCATATTTAGTTTCAAATTCAATTTATCATAGATGAATGTACTGGTTACCTGGCTAGACATGTAAGACACGGTACCGAATGTCTGTTTAATAATTACAATCATCAGGCCAGAGTTTTCTGCTATTCTTTTTTGTTTGTTTATTGATTTCTCTCTATTTTTATTACTGTTGGGTGGGTGGGTGGGTGGGTGGGTAGGATAGAAATTAATCATTTCAGATGTTTGTTTTTGAGACAATTGTTGCCACATAATCAATGTCAGTTACACCTGTTTATATTGCAAGCCTTTCAGATATCTGTCATTTCACTTTATTTGCTTATGACTGTCTTTCATCTCTAGTGCTTAAACATTCCGATGTTGCTGAAGACTTTGTCTCTGTCTTGTGGAAGTTGTGTAGTTTACTGTTTGACTGGATATTGGAATCCAGATTGATCAAGGCCTTTGATCTTCCATACATTCCAGAAAACATGTCTGACCTGACCATCAGTGACACAAATAGTCCCTTTAGGAATTCCTGCCCTTTTCATGTTTGGCTGATCTCTGAATCCACAGGACTTAACTGACTGAAATCCAGTAGCCTGTAGTACTCTGTCTACTATCCTTAACTAGCTGGGGTGGTGGGGTAGCCTAGTGGTTAAAGCGTTGGCTCGTCACGCCGAAGACCCGGGTTCGATTCCCCACATGGGCACAATGTGTGAAGCCCATTTCTGGTGTCCCCCACGTGATATTGCTGGAATATTGCTAAAAGCAGCGTAAAACTAAACTCACTCACTCACTCACTCACTCACTTAACTAGCTATGTAACATCCTTTTCGGTAGATTCTGTGTTAGTATAGTGGAATATTACCCGCCAAGCTTAAGCAAGCAAGAAAACTTTATACCTGTTTATCTGTGGACCGACTTGGCCTTGCAGCTGCTACCAAGGTGTTGTGATGGTTATGTAATTGTTATATGGATATCTCCTGCTCCAATGGTTCTATATGCCTTTCGTCTATTCAGCATGGTACATCCAGCTACACTTGGCGGAATCCTACAACAGTGCCTGCACATCACTACTGTTTTGGTCAGGTCATAATTCGGACCATTGATTAATACCATTCCCATTGGAGATTTGGATTGATGGGAATATGTCTGGTTAAAGTGACTAGTACCTGTGACATCAGGTCAAACCCTTTGTCTCTTAGAAATGAAGGGTTGTGGCCTTGTTCCCATGTCAAATGAAGCACTGTCACGTGGTTTCAGCTTGTTTCCATGGCTGTGAAGCATTGTCACATGGTTTCAGCTTGTTTCCATGGCAATGAAGCACTGCCACATGGTTTCAGCTTGTTTCCAT